GATCCAATCTGACACGTCCACTTTGGCGTCGTCGCCAGTGAATTTGTCAGGTTGCATCATCTTGGGGAAACGTTGCTCCTGCTGGCTTGAACTGCTAGCGCCAAGTTTCAGGTCCTCAGGGACAATCTGCTGCTTTGGGGAAGAAGGTTTCCCTTTGGGCGAAGAGTGTGGTGTTGTAGGCGGAGTAGAGACCGGTTTGAGTTCGGGTTTGACTGAGTGAATAGGGGGAGAGGTAAGAGATGTAGTGAGACGTTGGTCGATTCGATCCAGTGACTCTACAATAGAAGACTGCTTGGCTTCAACTGTAGTCAAGCGGTCTTCTAGTGCAKCAGCCCGGTCCATCCAGGCAGTGAGGGCATCTTTGATTGACGTGAACTCCAAGCGGATCCACTCAGCCATTTTCTTGTTGGTGTCGCTGAACCTTTCATCAGATTCAGCGGCCAAGAAATGCTCTGTCAGCACTGCCCGTCTGGCTTATGCCTGAGCCTTTTTATCTCCCTCAGCCTTCTCTCTCTTTAATCTCTCAATTTTCTTTCGGCTTTCTTCTGCAGCCGCCTCCTCCTTCTCAATCGCCAGCTCAATGGCGGTTTTGGGGATAACGGGACCTTTGCCTCTGTCCTCCCTAGAACCGCCAGAGTCTGCGCTGTTAGCCATACCCAAATGTGTTATTTTCCCAAAACATGCCTCGCAGACAGAAACAAGGACGGGAGGCCTGCTGCAGCAGGAGGATATGGGGGTTCTGACAGAGGAGGAGAGGGAAAAGGAACAGCGAGGAATTGTCTCGCGAGAGGATCAGGGTGGCCCGTCCGCTCAGGAGCAAAACGCCCCCCACCCGCAGCTCACCTGGGCGGATAGGCTTAAGAATCCCCTCCAAGGCCAGGCACTAACCATCCAGCGTGGCCATGGCAGCCCGAGAACGGGGAAGTTGGAGATCCCCCTAGATGGGTTGCCGCAGGCGCGTGCCTTCTTCATGTCCAAATTTCTGCTCCCCTCAGAAACAAGGGTTGTCACCCAAGGGGGCAAACAGGTGATGGTGAAGGCATACCCCAGTCATGGAATAACAAGCAAAGATGAGATGTATATGAAACACGCAAGCAATTGGGTGTTCCATGACAATGCGGCCTTCAAGTCAGTCAAAGATAAGGCAAGATGGATTGGCCGCCGACTTGAAATTTTGAAAAACAGCGCCGACCTGGCCAGGGAGCATTTTCTGATACAACCGGTCACCAACACCTTGTTCACAATTCTCTCTCTGCATGAAACTGATAAAAAAGTGATCGACGGTTGGAAGCGGCTTTGGTGCGAACGGTCGGAGGTGCGGATTTACCCGTGGGCACCGCAGCGCAGGTTGGGACCGGAGGAGAGGAGGGCACAATTAATGCAGGATTCCCACTGGGTGGAATTTCGTCACATCCCAGTGGAAATCCAGGCTGCATTCGTGTATGATTTTGGCTTACTCTATGACATTGTGGCCTTCATTGACCCCCTCCTATGTGGCTAAGAGGGACGATTACCTGATGTTGGCCCTTGACTTCCCCCCGGGCCAACCCTTCTCCCTCGATGACGTAATCCCGTACCGGGTGGGGGGAAAGGAGTATATGATCCACACTGCACACAAATTGCGACCGTGGTGCCATAGGTGCAGAGCATATGGCCACCTGAGCACCGAATACAGCTGCCCGCTGCACCCGCAGAAAAGGGAGTGGACGACAGGGAGGCTGTTGAGGGACCCGATCAAGACGTCACACTGGCGGGCGGTAGATCCGGGGCATGAGGGGTGGGTCTTTGTGGAGGACCCCACCAAGGAGGGAACCCCGGTGGGATGGAGGTGGGAGAGAGATGGGGAGCCAGATTGGAGTACTCGCCCCCCAAACACATGGGTCCCTCCGGCTCCGTTGGAAGAAACGATCCCACCGAAAGGGAGTCCGCAGGAGACAGACTGGAGGACTGTGGGGAAAAAGGGGGGGAGAGGGGTTTGGGTTCAAAAGCAACAGGTCGGACCGGGGCCGGAACAGGGAGACAAAGAAAAGAGAGAGGAGAAAGGTAAAGGAAAAACGGCAGCCCTGGGCCCGRCARCGRCACTCTATATCCAGGAGGAGGATAGTGGGAGGGYTGAAATGAACAGCGATCCCCCCCCGCATGGTGAGACGTCGGGGCGACAAGGGGGGGAATGCGAGGCGGAGCGACAAAAACTGGGGGGTATGGCGGGGCAATAGGGCGTAGAGGATACAACTACGCAGATGGAGCTAATGAAAGGCTCGGAGTGTCGGGCAAGAGGGGCGAGGGGACAAATGGAAAGTGTCGAAATGGAGGGGGCAACGGAGGGGGCAGCTGGGCAAAAAGGTGCTGAGGCAATGGAGGGGGCAGTTGGGCAAAAAGGGGTTGAGGTGGAACTGAAGGAAAACCAGATGATGGAAATTGACCCCTTCCTGCCCGCATTCGACCCTGAACCGATGGATGTTGACCCCCTCGCGGAAAATGCTTCCGTTGTGCCGGAAGGTCTGCCAGGAGAGGAGGGAGAGGAGGAAGGGACCCCGCCTCCGCGCCTGCCAGTCGAGAAGAAATTAGTTGATATTGCAGACTGGCTAATGACCAATCTAAAGGCAAAATATGGCCCTCTCACGGATGATTTTTGGGACAGAACATACCTGGATCTGTTTCCTATGTTGGATACTAGTGCCTCGCTTAAGCACGTCCTGGAAAATGGTCTGCAACCCGGGGTTAGGTGGACGGAGGCGTGGCACAGAGTGGCCGCTATTGTGTTTGCACGATTCCAGCCCCCCCCCTCACCACGTCCGGTTGCTGCAGAGGAGGCGGGACATGACGGTGCGGAGCGGTCTACGCCGGTACTTCAGCCGCCGGTCCCGCCTCCGGACCCGGCTCCCCCGGACCCGGACGAGGATACACCACTAGACCAGGTGCGAAAAAGGAAATTAAGATATCTGATAGAAATGGGTCAGGACACGGTTCCGCTATCTCGGGAGGCGATGGTGCTGCTTCCGGTTCGAAAGAAAGACGGGAAGTGGGAGGTTGGTTTGACACCGGTCGAAAATGGTAATATCAAAGGACTCACACTGCAAGGCTGGTCCTCCTTCTGGGCGGACCATTGCAAGTCCGAGACAGCAGCCGGGATTTTACAAATGCAGTTGGACTCGCACATTGCAAAGTCTATGCCCCCCGGCGCACAAGCCACAGCCCCCCTGATACCGGACCCCGACAGAATCTCGCAAAAGAGTTTTCTCATCCGCTATGACCCAGCCAAAGAGGCGGGCCTGAGATGGTACACCTACACCCTGCTCCTGGATATGCAGACAGTTAGGATCAGACCCAGCGAGATGTGGACGGCGCAGGATGTCCAAAGGCACCTGTGCTCTCTCCTCAGGCTGGGCCTGCGAGGGGGGGGCGCGGACTGGGATTAGGACCGGCTGTCGTGGTCTAGATTGTGAGTGATTGACATCTGTGGAAATGGACCCAGTCAGAGCGCTATATGGTAAGGACCGGGTCTGGAATCAATGCCGAAGGGCGGCAGACCTCGACCTGCGGTCCCTGAATGTGAACGGTCTGGCTTCGTGTAAACCGGAAAAGAAGAACGCAATATGGGATCTGATGAAAGGGGTGGGGGGTAGGGACTGGCCGGACGTTGTGTGCATCCAGGAGACCCACCTGACAGACTCCCCAGAACATAATCGTATTCACAAAATGATCTGGCCACATAAAGCTTTCAGAGCCCACACCCCGAGACCCGGGAGCGCCGGGGTGGCCATCTGGTTTCCCCCCGAATCCCGAGCGGATCCGGTGTACTGGGCCGTTGACCAGGAAGGGGGCAGATGGGTGTCAGTTCTGGTCACCCTGGAGCTGGAGATTATTTGCATTTTGTGTATCTATGCCCCCAATGTAGTGAGCGAGAGAAAAACCTTCTTTGAGGAAATTAAAACACAGATTCCAGACGGCGTTCCGGTCATCATAGCAGGAGATTATAATGCAGCCCCGGACCGTTGGATGGATAGATGGAGAATTCCCTCCCCGGTCCCGGCATACGTGGAGGAGGATGAGCGGATAATAAGGGACCTGAGCCTCTCTTTAAATATTTTTGACTCTTAACGAAGACTCAACCCGGATACGCGGTTCTTCTCCTGCCTGCGCAAGACCGGGGCCGAGAACCAGTCACGATCCAGAATTGACCTTATCTTGCTTTCGGAGGATCTGGCAGGGGCTATGCTGCTTGCAGCGATCCTGCCTGCCAGCCCGTATCCAGGTCTCGACCACAAAATGTGCTCAGTAATTCTGTCATTCCGGAAGAAACCTGACCAATGGGCCTGGGTTTTATAAACTTAATGTTTCGATCCTGCGGCAAGCAACATTCAGAAACTACATTAACGCTTTCTGGACATTCTGGCATGCACAGAAACAACACGTCCCACAAGAAATAGAATGGTTCAATAACGGTCTCTTCTACCTAGGGGAAAAATGCCAGGAGTACTCTAAACAACTAGCGACTAGAAATCACCAGCAGGAAATGAACATCCACTTGCAACTTCAACAACTCGAGCAACAGGACCCGAACAGCAACCATCTTACACAACCAGAAGAACATTCAGAGATACAAGTCCTGCAACAGTGTCTTCAATCTTTTGCTTCACAACGCTGGGAGGGTGCACGAATCAGAGGGCGACTCACATGGCATCAAAAGGAAGGCTCCATGGATAAAAGTTCTTTAGCCTGGCCCGGCCGCGCATGCGCAGAACAACGATAGAAGCATTATACGACCCGCACTCGGCACAAAGGGACGTGGCATGTTCTACACCTCAATGCATGCAGATAGCGAGGTCCTTCTTCAAGGACTTATTCACGTCCAGGTGTGCCCATCAAGAGAAAAACACTAAAGAACGAGAAATAGCTGAATTTTTAGAACCAATGAGCAAAACCCTGACACAGGAGCAACGATTGACCCTGGATCGGCCGCTGTCCAAGGAAGAAATATGGGCAGCAATGGAGCAGATGGAGAATGAGAAAACCCCGGGGGTGGACGGTCTCCCCAAAGAATTCTGGGAAACCTTTTGGCCCCAGATGGCCTCAGACCTCATGGATTACTACAACTCGGTGTGGGAGACCGGAAACATGGGGGAGGTGGTGGGGAAGGGTGTCCTCACGCTGCTGCACAAAAAAGGGGATATGATGGACATTCGAAACTACCGGCCAATAACGCTGCTCACGGTCGTTTATAAGATGCTCGCGAAAGCACTGGCTAACCGGTTGATCCCGGTCCTGGATCAGATCATCCATCCGACTCAAACCGGTTTTGTCAAGAGTCGCAGGATCCAGGATAACATCCTACTGGTGAATGAACTGCTTAAGTTAACCAGGCAAGACAAACAAAACCTGGCCGTGGTCTTCATAGACTTCGAGAAAGCCTACGACCATGTGGACTGGCTTTTTCTCGACCGGTGCATGGAAAAAATGAACATAGGCCCAGTCTTTCGCCGCTGGACTGAAATCTTGCATCACAACGCGACCACGTGTGTCCAAATTAATGGCAGCCTCGCACCGGCATTCCCTCTGCAGCGGTCTGTCCGCCAAGGAGACCCCCTGGCCCCATTCCTGTTCATAATAGTGATGGAGGCCCTGGCGGCGAATCTCCGGGCCAACAAAAATCTGAGGAAGCTGCAGATCTCGGCCATTCCGGAAGAGGCTATCCCTGTCTGCTCGATGTTCGCGGATGACCTGACACTCATGGTCGATGCCACCGCTGAGAACATGGAGGAGATTAGACGTTTGTTTGACAAGTTCACAGCGGTGTCAGATATGACAATTAATTGGGGCAATAAAACCCTTGGGTGGTGGATACACCACTAAGGAGTGCGCCCCCCGGAGCTGCCACGAATCAAATGGCTTCCGGAAATAGCCCCGGTGAGAGTGTTAGGAATAATGTTAACAGCAACAGGGAAACCGGCTTCGAACGACGATTGGATTCTTAAGCCCGCCTTAGAGAAGTTGGCGCGTTGGAACGACAAATACACCTCCTTAATCGGTAGGGCGCTGGCGATTAACAATGTGGTGCTTGCTGCCCTCTGGTATAAATCGGCGATATGAGCACTTAGTAAGGAGGCAGTGAGGTCGCTCAAACGACAACTAATGGCAATGTTGTGGAGGGGTAACAGCGAGCTTCCCAAGGTTATCAATAGGGTGGCGTGGACGGCGGTGATCCAGCCTAAGGACAGAGGAGGTTTGGGGATCCTAGACCCAGGGGTCCAGGTCACAGCGCTGATGGTGCAGTGGATCAGGAGACTGGTGTTGGCAGAAGACCTCCCATGGCAAGCTCTGGCGTTGGAACAGCTCGCTCGTCTCACCCCACAAGCCCCTCGAACAGTAAACCCTCGGACTTGGTTGGAAGACCGTTTCTGGCCCTTGCCGCGGCGCTCCCGCGCAGGCAGGAATCAGAACCGAGATGCGGCCCGCAGCGACCTTACCAACCGAGATGCGGCCCGCAGTGACATCACAACAGATGACTTCTGGATTCGTTGCTTGAAAGCCTGGCGTCAACTACCGTTGCCAGAAATACCTAGGCCAACCAGATGGGAGGAGGTGGCCCGACAACCTCTGTTCAGGAATAGAAATATCACGGACCGAAACGGAAGAGTGTATCGTAGTTCGGACCCCCCGTGGAACAGCTGGGTCAAAAGGGGTATAATTAGAGTTAAAGACATCTGGGACTCAGAAAATAAGGGGTGGCAAACAGAATCACAAATGAGGACGTTATTGAAGCACTGCCACAACTTAGGAGATAATATGGAAAGGTTGATCTGGAGAACATGTTTAGAATAAGGAGGAGGGCGGTTATGTGGGCGATCTGGAGAAGACGCTGCATACACACTTTGGAGGGCGTTCGTATAGCGGGGGAGGAAATGACGGACATGATCAGACAATTTATACAGCAAGAACTAATGACGCAATGGCAGAAGGTTAAGGGCCAGCTCGATCTGTGCCAAACAAGGAATGAAATCAAACAAAAAATCCAAAAATTCTCGGGGGACTGGTTGGGCGGCGAGAATGCCGGCCGAATTGCCTCCATCAAATGGGAGGGCGGCAAAATCCCGGAAGGCGAAGGAGACAACCAAGTCGGGAACCGGGATCCGATCAGGAAGGACTACCAGCTTTGTTTTAAAGATTGGACAACGGTGGGCCAAGAGGTCCTGTTACGGCCTTCTGCGGACTTCCCCGACCCCTTTCCCCCTCATCAGCTGGCTGTGGTGGACATGCAATGGTACGGAGCGGAGTAAGCAAGACTGCAAATGCAGGGGAGGGACCAGTTTGTATACGCAGTGATCTGGCGCCCGACATGGGGTGAAGAGGCTCCTCCCTGTTCTGACACAACCTGCTCAGTTAATCCTCTGGGTCCCAGAGCAATCAATGCTGGCAGGATTCTCCCTAATTTTAGTCTTTGTTTTCACTCTGTGTATGGGATGCTGGACCCGATTTCCAGCAGGTGCTTTCACTCTGTGTGGATGGGGCTGTCTTTTTCAAAAAAATAAAAATAAAAAATAAAAAAAAAATAAAAAAAATAAATCGGATTGGCGTTCACACACAGAACAACAAGCTAATCGGAATCAGGCTGTACTGTTTACTCAGTTTTAAGAGAAGGGTTAAGACAGATGGCAGATTAGTGCTTAGTGTCTGTAGGTGCTCAGGGAGGTTGCTAGCAACGTTTAGCAGCAAAATCAACCAATGATTTCCTTTTTACCGCACGCAGCAAACTAATCAAAAATAAAATAATCTCTGATTAAATCCTTTCCGGATTTTCCTTAGAACACCAGCACAAATTAGCAGGGCGAGAAATTGAAACGAAATCAATTCTAATTACCGTCTCTCCCCGGTTCAATCAACAGCACAAACCCCAAGAATCCCAACCACGTTAACAACACCTACGAACAAATTATTTACAGAGTTTCATCGAGGGAGACTTCTTCTTCCTCCCACACCTTCGAGCTCACAGCTATGGCGCAGGCCTGCGCCCAACCTATCAAGCCCACTGTTCGCCACCAGCCCTTGTATCCCCAAACAGCCCACCAGCGGTCCAACCACGGTGCCCACCGCAGATGATGTGTTCGATCAACAAGGGAGGGCAGCTCCCTGAACGATGAAGAAGCCCAACAACTCGATGAAGATGGTGGCCTGCCACTTCGAAGCAGGCATGGAAAAGCTGCTTTGATGGCAGCTGTCCGAACCCCAACTGGACAGCAATGGAGGAAGCGTCTCACAGAGCAGGGCTTGATGCCCCGCGGGCCACATCAGCCAGGTAACCCCAGCTATGGCCGTCAGCTCCCTTCAATCAGGAAGGAGGAGCAGCACTTGGAATTAACGCAGCTTCAGCAGCGACCTCCAGCAGTACTTCGTGGGAAAAAAAATGACGACCAGCCCCGAAAATTTTGCCCTCGGTACTTTTGTTCCCCTCCAGCCTCCCAGACCCGACAGCCTACAGCCTCGTTTTGCACTTTCAGCCTAGGACTGTATCTAGGCAGAAAACAGCACCAGAGGGGAGGGCCTACGTTCCTCCTACTAAAACAACCAAAACACCCTGAAGGGTCTATGACCAGCCAACAGAGACTGCTGCCGACAGGTCTAGGGATCGAGCCCAACAAGGCTCAAGACAACCAGGCAAACAAAGCCAACAAAAAAACAAGCAGAGAAACAGGTCGCGGGATCGAATCCCGACGGACTCAGAACCAGGCAACATCAAACAACTTCAATGTACAGCTCGCATGCCACTGCAATTCATTGCATTCCTACCCTCCCGGGGAGCGAGGACTCCGAGCTAGGGGTGTCCACGAGGGGAACGTCTGAGAGGTTGTCCCTTCTGTTCGGCCTCATAGGCACGCACAACTGAATTTGCAGACTTGAGAAGTTCCTTCCTTGGGAACCATCGGTCCTCTGTGTGAGGCTGGAACAGAAACTTCACAAGGTATTCACAGTTGGGGCCTGTGCCCCACTGATCTTCGATGCTCTGAACTTCGTATCCCTTTCCAGGGATTGGAGGTCCAAACTGCGGGGGCCTATCAGGGAATGCATCAGCAGACGCGAAAGGCAGCAGTTTTGAGGCATGGAAGACCGGATAGGTCTTGATATGAGAGGGTACAGCAAGCACATAGGAAGGTCCAAATGGATCTGCCCCCACCGTATCAAGTACCTGCCATGGGTCATAATAGACAGGTAACAACTTTCTTGAAATATCCTGCTCATCAGTTAATTCAGATCTTTTCACCCAGACCCAGTGACCTGGTCGAATAGTAGAGGGAGAGCGATGCTTATTAGCCTGTTCGATCATCCTCTTCTGGGCCTAGCTTTCTCTAGGTCTTTCTCATAACTCTTGGTGAACTCTGCAGTTCCAGGAGTTAGTTTAGGCTTGGACTTGTCAATCAGATCGTCCAGAGGTTGTATGGGGTCTCTTGCAAAGTGTAGCTTATAGGGTGTAAAGCCTGTGGTGCTGTGAACAGACGTGTTATACATCAGTTGTGCTCGTGATAGATGTCTGTCCCAGTCCTGCTGATCGGGTGTGATCACAGGACGTAGCAACTAAAACAAGACTTGGTTCATCACTTCGGCCTGTCCATTGGCTTCGGGATGTCTGTCAGAGGTCATGTCTAGTCTGGAATGTAGGTAGTCCTTGCAGAAGGACTGCCAATCATCGCTGCAGAATCTGGAATCTTTGTCACTGGCAATGGAGGTTGGGCACCCATGGACATTTACCCACCTCTCACAAAAGAGCTCTCTGACCAGAGGTACTCTGACCTCAGCAGGTAAGGGGATAAACTCAGCAGACTTAGAGAATCGATCCACACAAACCATTACCTGTCTCATTCCACGTGGAGTGGTTTTGCCCAGGTCTGTGAAATCAATGGACACTGACTCACCTAGACCGTCAGGGATAGGTAGAGGTTTGAGAAGTCCCATAGGAGGTCGCCTGTGGACCTTGTTCTTTTGGCACAATTCGCAGGTCTCCAAGTAATGCAGGATATCGTCTTTCATTTTAGACCAATAGAAACGTTGGGTCAGGGCAGCATACGTCTTTAAGAACCCAAAGTGAACGCGAGCATCATGGCTCTCTGAGATCAGATGAGTGATGATCTTGCGATCATTAGGGATGCGCAGACGTTCTTCCCCTTCGATGATTGTATACAGCAAGCCCGAAGCCAAGGCATAGCCTGACTCAGAATTGGGGTCAGCCTGTAAATTCCTAAGAATGGGGCCAAAGACTGGATCCTGAGGCAACGCATCAGCAATGGCCTTTCTGGTGGGATCAGCAAAAGAGTAAGTGTCAACAATGGCTGCGAAGGAATCAGGTCTACTTAACAATTCATCAGCAACCCTGTTATAGCATCCCTTCTTGTGTTTCAGTTCAAAGTCAAATCCGTCGATGAACTGAATCTATCTTGCCAGCTTATCATTTAACTCACCTTGGGTCTTCATCCACTGCAGAGTGGAGTGATCAGAAAAGATCTTGAAATGTCTCCCAAGTAAGAAATGCTTCCACTGTTTGAGGGCACAGACGAGAGCATACAGTTCCTTTTCGTAAGTAGACGCCTGGATCCTTTGCACCTTTATTTTCTTACTCATGAATTCCACCGGTTTCAGGCCGGTCCCATCATCTTGCTGAAGGACTGCACCAACACCATACTGACTTGCATCTGTGGTCAACACAAATGGCAAGGTAGGGNCACACACACACACACACACACACACACACACACACACACACACACACACACACACACCTCCTCCCCCACGGCATTTTTTTTTTAATTATTCCTGCGCACATGGCGCACAGGCCGCAGCGCGCTCACAGCACAGCGCACAGTGCGCGCCCTGCTAAACCAGCGCACAGCGCACCTCACACGTGCGCCGCAACTATGGGTCTTTTTCCCTTTTCTGCCCACCTGAAAGGCGTAGTCATGACGGCAGCTTTCCAGTGCAGCATTGCAGCTGTCTAGGCTTGTTGACGAGTGAGGGCAGGCAGCCGTCCAGCTGTCTAGGCTTGGCAACACAAAAAAAGAACCACAAAGTTACGATGTGTGCGTAGGGTAGTGCATATATCATATGCGGCTCCTCGTCTTGCGCGGTGGCTCACGTCAGTGATTACTCGTTTAGTAAAGATGACTTACCTGGAGAATTCACAAGCACAGTCGTAGTTTTTTGGCCATAGCTCATCCAACCCAAGGCTGACGAACATGCAGATGCAGTGAGCGGAAGCAAAAGACAGGTAAAGATATGGTAGGAAGAGAACACACTAGTAGTAATCACAAACTGCTTCGCCAACCGACTCTTGTGGAGGATGAAACCCTGGACAGCAAGGCACACAAAACACGGCATGGAGAAGGCAGCTAATAGCAGGGCAAGTGGCCTAGCAGGAGGGGGGCAGGGGGCAACATAGCAAGGCACACAGTACGTTATGGCTTGGCAGCGAATAGCAGGCAAAGCAGGCGAGCATGTGGGTGGACCAATGGGCACACAACAACACAGGAATCCATGCAGGGAGCCACACACGAAGGCAAGACGGCAGGGGGACAAGCAGAGAGAAAGAGCAAGGCAGGCAGCAAGGCACACACAAGGACACGGTAGCCCGCCCATACACCAACGATCAAAGTGGACTATCGCCTACTCACACCTTATGAAAAACACTGCGGATTTTCAGTTCACAGCATGTGATGAGCCAGAGGGAGCCACATGACGAATGTCTGTCGTTACTACAGATGTCATGAGCACCGAGCGCCTTCGTATTGTATAAGGTGCTGTAAGGACGATAGCATGCAAGGATTTGGCACATCTCTACTAGTCTCTAGTTATGTTAGTGGACACACATCGAATGTAGACAGCGAATCAGAGAAACAGAGCCTACGAAGAGGGGAAAGACAGAGGGCTTGCATGTATGTGTGTGTGTGTGTATCCAATCATATCCCATGGTGTAACACGCCATAGACCCCATATTATTCATGGTGCACCCCACCCTGCCGTAACCAAACTGACGATGTATGCTGGTGTAACACGCCATAGACCCCATATTATTCATGGTACACCCCGCCCTGCCGTAACCAAACTGATGCTGTATGCTGCCACTCTACTACTACTCATGAAGCTACCTCGTACAAATGTGCTTATCCATGACCAGCTTTCCAAAGTCCGAAGCATATAGGCTAGAGGGCATGGGAGAGGTGGGAGGGCAGACAACGGGCAAACACACCAAGCAGGCAAACGACAGAAACAAGCCCTAAAAAAATGCCCAAACCAGGCAGACAAGAAAAGCATCAAGGCACCTGTGGGCAGAAGAACGGGGGGAATGGCGAACGGAACAAGAACTCCGGAACACCCTAAAAGTATGTCACGCTCTCGCAGATAACCTAAGTTCAATCCAGAAGAGCATCCCACCCCTTTGGCTTCGCCTCTTGAAAGAAGACTTCTCCTGAAAACCAGGGGACTGGGTTATACTCATATCCCAAACTTCACCGAACAGAGCATACCGGTTGGCGTCCCGCACCTCAGCCACCGGCTACCTTTCCAAATTCTACTCCTATCCCAATGCCAATCACAACCTCCAGGAACTAGCCATTCTCAACAGAGAACCTTTGCTAGAGACGATAGAGTCCTCCCTTCTTCGAAAAGTAAGGGTAACAAAAACCAAACCATGGATAATCTTTCAGCCTGGCCTCAGCATAACGGAGCTCGAATTCGATCCTAAGGAGTGGATATGGAAATGAAGCAAAACCGGAAAAAACAGAATGATACTGGATTACGACATCAAATTCGGGTACAACCTAGGCCTACTGACCACGGACCCCAACCCCAAACTCGAAGACAGATGGAGAGAGACTCTGATCCTAGAGCCAACAGCCTCAATATCCATCCCCTGGACAAAATACCTCCCCATCAGACCAGCTAGAACATCAGACCAGCTAGAATCTGTAGCTTACAGTGGCTCATGGCCCATGCAGCACTCCCTGATAACCAGGGGCTCCACAAAAGAAGAAAACACTCGGATCCCGACAGCTCTGAACTATGCCTAATGTGCGATGATAACGTCCTGAAGACATCCCCCACTGCCTTCTCTACTGCAGCCAGACCGCCTGGATATGGAACAAAGTCCAAAACCTATGGTCCCACCTCTTCTCATCCCCTCCCCCCAACCTCACCCCTCTGAACATCCTACTTCTATCTAACATCCCCGACAGCCTCAGAAGTGGAAAAGCGGTCTGGTTCCACATGATCAGGAAACTAGCCCTGTGGGTCATACGGAAAAGGAGATGTACCAGGAGAATCGAGCGTTCAGAAGTGACCAAGGAGGACATGTGGATCCTGCTGCTGAGGATGGTGGAAACAGAGGTCCGATGCAAATGGAGGAGTATATCGACAGCAATGAGAGGCAAACCTGAAAGACTCGCACTCAGGAGACGAATCTTCATGAGAGACTGGTTGCTACAGGGGAAGATCGCGACAGTCTCAGACAGTAAGTTACACTGGAAGAAATGGGCCACTACAACAACGCCAAGGAATGTAGCCCCGAGAGGGACAAATTGAGGTTCTAGCCTCAGACGGATAGAGACATCTCTCCCAGTTTTCTTGTGCTTCAATACCTATTCGACAGAACCAACAGGGTATCTGAGAGGAAAGCTAGGGTAGGGCAAGCTGACAGTCAATCCTCTCATACAGGAGTAATCAATGCTGGTCAGGGTTCCTTCGGCCAGACGGAAGGAAGCGTGGGTGTGTACTATGTTGTATTCAATCTTGACTTGCCGGGGGAATAGGAACCGGACTGACACTTCCCAGAATGGACACGGAGTCAGGGCCAGAAGGACCTGTTTTAAAAATTCAAAAAAAAAAAAAAAAAAAGAGAAAAGCATCAAGGCATACCAAAAGCAAGTTAAAGGACATCGAGGCAAAAGTAGTGAGATGAACCATAGGCTGGAGGGCATGAGGGCGGCAGGCAAACCCAAAAAAATACAAGTCCCAAGCAAATCGAAAGACTGAAAAAAATAAAAGCTGATGATGATAGATTGTTTCGTCGGACAGACGAATGAACTGAACAAGTGGCCGAAATAATGGAGCGGAAGAAGGGATACGAGTGTTGTACGCTTGCTCCTGAAGTAAGTGCCGCCCAGGCCAATCATCAGCAGGGTCTCCTCGTCATAACACAATGGACGGATGCAAGTCTGTGCATGACCTATCTAGAGCAGACTCAGTGTCGCAACAACGCCATGGAGATAATTTACATGGAAGTTGGATATCTGTCTCCTTCGATTTTAGTGTGCTCTTGCATCTCCAGGGGTATTTAGTTCTTTTTTTTTCTTCTTTTGTTTTTTTTCACGTTAGAGTCAGTTAGACCCCTTGGACGTCAGTTTTTCGTTGATCTCCAGAAGTAAAATGTGAGCCTTCACTGACCGAAGGGCGACTGCAGTTCATGTTGTAGCGTGAGCCTTCACTGACCACATGCCCACCAGCTGCTGCAAGGTCGATGTGCTTGCTGTGTCACTGAGCTCATGCAGGAGCATGCAGGTGTTTAGCATAACCTCGTGTTTTACACATTAACTACTGTTTAAAAAAAAAAACGCTCTTTCCAAGCAGGAGCTCTGCTTGAGCACCCGACCTTAAAGTTTTGGGCCTACCGGGTCACAGCACAGTGGTAAAGATTTTTTTTTTTTTTTTTTTTTTTTCAAAACAACCCTCTCCAGTGCTAGAGGTTCTGGTAAGAGCAAACACCGCTAGCACTCCCGGGGGAGAGGCTCCATCTATTGGTGGGGAGCGTCACCTGCTGGAAAGCGGGTCCAGCGTCCCATATATATGTTATTATGTTTTCTTTTCGTGCCAGACATTTTCTTTTTTTCTCTCTAATTTTCTGCCCTGGGATATTGCCCCTGGCGCATGGCCACTCGATGCTTGTTTTCTAGAACTTTTCACCGAATAGAATGAGCGCCAAGGAAAGGGTAAAAAAGGAATGAGCACCGACAATCGCGGAAGTTGGGAGCATTCAAAACGCCGTGCCGCGCCGCGCCCTGCCCCCAGGCCTCGCAATGGCCGGTGGAGGCCCGACCCTTCCTGAAGCCGGCGTGTATAGCACCACAGGCCTTGGTCAGGATCGGGGGCAGTGATGGTTTGAACTTTGAATTGATTGCTTGCAAATCAGATTGCTTTGGAGTGCGCTTCGGTGGTTCGGTACAGCTATGCCTCTTTTCTTTTCTTAACCGTGTTGTTGGTTTTCTTTTCTTAACCGTGTTGTTGGTTTTATTTTCTTAACCGCAGGTCTGCACTGCTCGTCTCCTGCTGCAAGTTGTTATCTACATGAGGAAGTGGAGAAAACTGGCATGAGAAAGTGGAGAAGACTGCGCCGATCATTTACAAAAAGTAATCATCTCTACGGTGGGTGGGGTCGCCGAGGTGTATGCAAAAAAGACCAAGTTCCTCGGAAGATGCTCTCAACCACCGAATAGCTCGAGACTCGAGAGTCTTTTCCGCGAGCAATTCGATCTTCTGGTGAAGTTGGAATTGAAGACCGGTTCTCCTGGGTTTTCAAGGGCGCACGAAACTGAGTGGATAATCAGGCTTCTTTGTTTTTCGAGCGCCTCTCATGGCATGACATGACCCTGTGTCAGGTCAGGAACTTAGTCCCATTATTTCACAGTCCCATTCCAGACAGGTACCAATATTGCGGGGACATATTCCGGGTGCAGGTTGAATGCCCTCAGAACCACACGTGACAGTTTCCGTCATGCAGCTCGCCCCGCAAAACCTCAGCCTCGTTTGCAGATCCGACCGTTTGTTTTTCTTTCAATGTGTTACTGATTGATCAGCACATGTTCTTTTTTTTTTTTTTTTTTTTTTTTTTTAGATGAGCACATGTTCCATGCCATCGGGAGGACAAGAAGAAAGATATGATGTTAACTCGCATTATTCTCGCGGGCATATGTATGGATTCTATGGAATAACACTGTTATTATAGAGTGATGATATTGGCATTCTTAATTTTTTGGAGAGAGCGACACTGCCAAATGAATTGCTCCTTTGCACTGTGTTCTCTCATGTGCGATAGCAAAGGAGATGCTGCAGTGGTCCCTGTGCCGTGCACGTTGTCATTGTTTGTGTGGTGGGCGGCCTCACCATGGAGTCATGGACTGGTTCCCTCTCCTCACGGCAAGAAGCCAATGGACGGACGGGGATGTTGAGAACTCCCACTTATCATGAACAATGAGACTTGGTGCCTGCACACGTGCAGGTACCTACCGTCTTCACCCGCATAGAATGTCCGGTCATTATAGCTGTGTATTTGGCACAACTTTCTGCCCAGATACGGCGATAATTACCGGGCGTTCTATTCGGGTGAAGACGGTAGCTGCACCCAATCCTGCATCAAAAGTTAAAACTTGTCGACAAGCTGACAAGAGACCATGGGAACTTTTAGGCAAACAGAAAAGAAAGAAACTTACAGGGAAAAAAAAAAAAAGGGAAAAGCCAAAAAAAAAAAAAAGCACTTCCAAAGCCTAATTTGTTCCAACTTGTATCTGCCCCGCTGCATTGAAAATGCCTCATCGGTCACACGCCGCTGGCAGCAGGGCGGGTCGGTGTACCAGCAGCGGGCGGACGGCAGCTTTTTGCAAATGTTTCACTGCGCCAACTTTGACGATTTTTCGGACTCAGACGTTTCGATGAAAAGTTCTGAAAGACATCAGAGACGTAGATTTCACAGGAGTGGGGCGGCGTGACAAGGCCAGAGCAGAGTATGATGCAATGGAGGTGGGAAGAAGCAGCAACACCGGGAAAAGAATTGGAACGGGTGGCCAGTAGCCAAGTCTTTGCAGAAAAGGAGGAGGATTGGTTTTTCGTTTGACGCGGGCGCAAATGGGTTGAACGTATATGAGCGGTATGTGGATCAGTGTTGCAGCGAAAGACCCCTTTGTGGACATGCAAGTTCTGTTCGTAATTTGTTGTTCAAATTACGATTCTCTTGAAGTCCGAGGCAGCCATCCCGGACACGCTGGCTGACCACCCTCTTCACCTTAATAGAATGCCCTGTTACCTGTTATTATAGGTGTATGTGGACTGAAAGTTGCCCGCAATACAGTTACAATGACCTGGCGTTCTATTCAGGTGAAGACGGTAGTGTGGGAAAGTGCTTTGAAGGTATTGACAGCAGTGCATAGATTGGAAGATGTCAGCCCCAGTCTTCCGCTTCATCATGGAAGCCATCAAATCCTTCTTAAGGAAAGACCCATCCGTCCACAGACTCACCGACCAAACAGATCAAAACCCACACAGGTTCCATATGCCCCCCCACAATCTTATTCGCAGATGACTTAACTGTCCTTATAAGAGCATCTCCCTCTTCATTCGAAGCCCTCACCAGAGCAATGTGTGCATTCCAACTAGCCTCCGAAATACGCATCAACTGGAACAAAACAGTAGACCGGTGGCTAACAGAAGGTGGTCTGGACCCACCACAAACCACACACCAGAAGGCTTGACATGGGCAAACCCAAGAGACCCTCTCAGATTTCCAGGAATACAAATGTCGATGCAAGGGGCTGAAACAGAAATGGCTCCCAGCCTGCCAACTAGCCAAAATGACCAACAAACTGAACGCCTGGGGGGGGATACACACCTCCCTACATGGCAGAGTGCTAGTTTTGAATGCCTCCATATTCTCAATGATGCGGTACGTTGCACCCTTTTGGGCCCCAAACCAAAAAGCCCTGAAGGACCTCCAAAAGAAAGCTACAGCCTATCTCTGGACAGGAGACGCCTCAAGACAATACTTCATCACAGAGGTGGCTTGGCAATATGTAACAAGAAAGAAAGACCAAGGAGGGCTAGGCGTCCTGGACCCGGCCAACCAAATAAAAGCCCTTCAAACCAAGTGGATCATAAAACTACTACCGAGTCCTAAATTGGCTTGGAGTCCTAAATTGGCTCTTGAAGGTTTACAACATCTTCCAACTTTCAGTACTCCAGACAACATGGAAGGTACTTTCTGGATCCTTCTTTTTTTATTTTATTTTTAACCAAAACCCCCTTCCAGTGTTAGTGGTGCTGGTAAGAGCAGACACCACTAGCACCTGAGGAGGGGCTCCATCTATTGGTGGGGAGAAGTTGTACTTTCTGGATACTAAGTAAATCATGGACCATAAAGAACAAGTCCCAAAACGAACTTAGACTGGAAGATACTACTCAAGGCATGGAGAGAGATCTTCCCCTCCAAGGTAAGAAAACCCATCAGTAAAGAAGAAATCCTCAGACAACCACTCTTCTGTAACCCATGGTTAGCCAATAACGAGGGCATACCCTCCACCCCCTCACAGCAAAGGACACAAGATGGGGGTCGTGGTTGGAGAAAGGCATCTGGCAAATCAAGCATATCTGGAACGAGTCAGAAAAAGACTGGAAGGTAGCCAGACAACTCAGAGAAAAACTCAATGGCTGCCACAATCTAACCCAAAACCCCCAACAAATGACCAACTCCATCCCGCCGGAGTGGACGGCAACCCTCAAAAAGGACAAGCAATGTTCAACAGGAGATTGGGCAGTAATGACACACACGAGTTCCCAAGAGCATGCTCTAGCCTTTATAAGACAGGAAGATGGCAGAAACGGACTGTTGAAGATGGCAGAAAAAACTGGCTTACTTTCTCCATGCATACATAGCCTTGAAGAGCCAGGAGCAGATTACTGCAAAGTCAACAAAAACCCGTTAGCACAAGTTACAGTCAACGGAAACTAAGAAAGGTCAGAGTAATAGAAAACGAGGAACTTATTATATTCCAACCACAAACCACAATAGAGGATTTAGTATTTGACCCAGCAGAATGGGCTCGGAACCTGAAGCAAAAGTTCACAAGAATAGATTGCAGAATCAACCTGCTGCCTGATCAACTATACCACTAGCCTAGGCTATAAACTTAGAAGTAGATCAACAGCACCGGACACAGTCTGAGCAGACCGCTGGACGAAACACCTCGAAGTAGATCCTGAGTTGTTAAAAGAAATCCTGTGGAATCAAATAGCAACCTTACTTACGTCCCCCCAAGTTTGAAAGTCTACAATGGTTAATCCTATACCTAGCAATCCCGCTCAATCAATGGCTGGACTTTAGAAGAAAAAAAGAGGATAGAAATCCGTTAAACGAGATATGCGTCAACTGTTCAGAGGGCCAAATAGAGAACCTGTTCCACTGTTTCCTCCAATGCCCCAAAATCAAACCCATATGGTTTAAGATAGGTCAGATACGGTCCTCAACAACCAACACAAACTTTACTACGAGCCCTACCCTTATTCTACTAGGTTTCACATCGCCAGACAACTGGTCCCCGTTACAAACCAATCTTTTCCAAATCCTGCGCAAGTCAGCACTATGGTCCATACGGAGAAAAAGATGTCAGGAAACGATAGACAAACAACCAATGCACGTGCAGGAAGCATGGAGTATCCTCAGACAACCGGTGGAAACGGAATACTGGATCTTATGGCGCAAAGCCAAGAGGAAAATGAAAGCAAATGCACCTAAAGCCAAAGAAATCCAAACCGAATTTGAGGATAATTACCTTGTCAAGGGCAACATAGCAACCGTCAAAGGCCAGGGCCTAATCTTTACAATGTGGAATGATACAACACATACCACTCATTCAGACTCAGGACCATTGTTTACCCCACCGGATCCCTTGAGCACCCAGATCAATTCCTGCTAAAACACCACAGGTTTCCGTACCAAGGCACACAACAAGCACAATAGACTTTCCCTCGCCCCTATCTAGACCAAACATCCACCCCCTCGACAACTTAGCCTCCTACGACGACACTTTACAGGCATTTACTAGCAGGCTGCATGCTAAACATTAAAACCACACAGACCTCATCCCCAATGTAAGGAACCTCACAGCCCTAACACCCCTTAAACCTCCCCGGACCCTTCTCTCCCCTCTTACACGCTACTGACCCCATCACCCTCCACACAAATCACCCTGCGCCCAACCCACCGCAGCCGCGAATCCACACACCCGACCTCATCAGCCATCCAACCTCATATCCTAGACCTACAAACACCCATCAGTCCTTCCTCAAGCCCTTTAAACAGTACTGGCCCCACCACATAAACAGCTCCCAAAGAAGTCCTTTCTATCCAGCTAATACAGGAACAACTTAGGGTACGAGATATAGACCATCAGACAGGTTTTCAAGTAAGGGTAAGCAGGACAGTTAAAACAGCAGGGTCTTAAGTTTTAGCACCAGGTGGAGTTTATAATAACGAAAGACAACATAGAGAGGATAGAATTTAAGCTTACCTATAGGCAATTCCAACTAGACCGGAAAGGGTTTAGGGTTTATCATGTCCTGAAAAAAAAGGAGGACCACATCTACAGTTCTTGTATTTAAAGTGAATCTGACAGTCGAAGAGCTGAGAGGAACAAGTTAGACGCGGCCTCCCGTAAGCAAGTCTACAGGGTCCGCAGTACGGGTTCCGTTTCCATGTCTTAGGTTCAAAATAAAAGTATTCAGGATAACTTAGGCAGGGGTGATTTTTTAGACAACTTCCTTGATATCTCCTTGATCGTGCTGTATTCCTTCTATATATGGGATGCTGGACCCGTTTTCCAGCAGGTGATGTTCCCCACTAATAGACGGAGCCTCTCCTCGGGTGCTAGTGGTGTCTGCTTCTATCAGCACCACTAGAACTGCAGGGGGGGTGTTTAAAAAAAAAAAAAAAAAAGGCAGGGGTGATGGGTGGTAAATCCTTCTAACAAGAAGTAATCAATGCCGTCCCTCGGGCTTTCCTACCTTAAGGGGGAAGAGCGTGTGTGAGTCCTTTGCATAATTCTTTTGGCTTGCCGGTGGAATAGGAACCGGACTGACGCTCCCCAGAATGGAAAAGGAGCCAGAACCACACAGTTCTGGCTCCTTTTCCACTAGTACCTTTGGCGCGTGGGAAAATAGCGGGCCTCCTGTGGGCCTCCGACCTTTTCGGAGGCCGAAACGAAACGATGGCCGCCGATCAGATTTATCAATGGCAGCCGTCGTCGGGC